CCCCCCCCCCCCCCCGAGGCCAGGCCTCAGTGGCCTTGTGGGAAATCCAGCACTGTGGACAGACATACCATTCCTTTGACAGTAAAAACAACTACCTTATATGCACTTCATCCCTGTATTTAACCTTTTGGCTGTAGTTCAGCTTTAAAAGCATGTCAGCCACCTGTCTGAAATTCAGTCCGGGTTTTGAATGCTGTGTCCGGGTTTCATGGCAGCTGAAACTTCTACAGTACTTCTACTCCTTCAATCAGCTCACCCATCACAGTTATTACCTTCTGCATCACTTGCACCTTCTTGTTCACGAGCAGGGCCCCCCCTAATCCTTTTGCATGCTATTGTATTGTAATTTTGCTGTCTCCCCATATGTTGTAAAGAGCTGTGCAAACTGTTGGTGCTATATAAATCCTGTATTATAATAATAATAATAATGGCATAGAGGCATACCCATCTAGAATGAGGTGGGAATGCAGCAGAATTGGGGTCTTAAAGGAAAAGTATGAGGTGAGTGCTTTTCACTCACCTCATAGTTCTAGCCGACCTGTGACAATGAGACTGTCCCAGGTCGGCTCAGTAGATCGGGAAGTTAGCGAACACTTACCGGCGTTCGCTCACCTCTCGATCCTGTCTCAGCTCTCTGCCGTGACAGGGGAGGGGCTGTATTCCCCCTTCCCGCTCCGATCCGCCAGCGCTGACTGGCAGAATGGACGGGGGAGGGGGCGGGTACAGCTGGCTCTGCCTCTAGATAGGCAGAGCCAACTGTCACTCACGCAGCTCGGCGGATCCACACATAATTGTCGGGATCCGCTTCAGCTGCTGCGTCTCAGTATACCGCGAGCTGTAGCTCGTGGTATACTGTGGCGTCTCAGTATACCGCGAACTGTAGCTCGCGGTATACTGAGCTTAGGGTGACGGGAGGACGCTAGTTTGTGTCCTCCCGTTACCCTAAGGAGAACTATGGGGAAAAGCCTTAACCCCATAGTTCTCCTTCAATACTTAATAACTCAATCATTTTTTTATTGAAGATATCATGGAGTATAGCAGGCTTGCTATAGAACTATTAAAACACGATCAGACATTGTGCAGACTGATTGCTTTCTCTTTTTATTATATTTTTTCTTTCTTTTATTATATTATGGCTTTTCTTTTTTATTCAACCTACAATTAAAAGAGATCCAGAATTGCTGACATATGGCTCGAGATCTGATTCTCAAAACTGAATTGTAAGTGCGTGTTTTGGTGTCATGTGTTCACAGTAAAGACTGGAGAACACAAAAATGCTTGTTAGTGTAAAGAGGCAGTTTATGGTGAGTGTTCTTGTGATGTATTATTTAAAATGACTGTTAAATAATTCATAAATCAACACTCTAATGATATGAAATACACAAAACTGAGGGAGCTGGAGAACTCTTCAGATTCACTTTGCTAATAATCTTCTACAAATGCTTTCTTTTTTTTCTTTGTGGGAAAAGCGGCGAGGGACCAGTGCAGCCTTCCCGTTGTCTCTCGTGTATGTAACCACTGACACCAATTATATTTTTAGCTGTCTGTAAGGGAAACATTCCTCCCGCTGACCACCAATGTAACAGGACAGTCTTTTAAATGACCAATGGAGTAAAGAGAACCTTCTTCCACTTACCACCATTTTACAGTGGCACCTTTCCTACTGACCACCAATGTAATGGAGCCCTTCTCTACTGACCACCATTGTAATGGGCCTTTCTCCACTGACCACCAATGTAATGGGGCCCTTCTCCACTGACCACCAATGTAATGGAGCCCTTCTCCACTGATCACCAAAGTAATGGAGCCCTTTTCCATTGATCACCATTGTAATGGAGCCCTTCTCCACTGACTACCAACGTAATGCTCCTTTCTCCCCTGTCCACCAATGTACCCTTCTCCACTAAATCCACATGTAAGGTGAGTCCTTTTCCCTTAAGAATAAATATAAGAATAAATGAATTACACTAGCCACCAAGAAGGTGTTTCTCCACTAACCACTAATGTAAAGGGACCCCACAATTGTTACGGTGGCCAAACAATGAAATACTCTGGGTGCTAAGTACACTACATTCTTTATTCTTTTATTAATTAATATAGCTACATCTTACAGGTCAACAACCCCTGTAGACATAATATTTGTTTTGAGGTGTTCCCTGAGACAAAGATTATCTTAAGGGTTCCTCCACAATAAAGACATTAAAACGACTGCTAGAAAGTTATTGGGAGCACCCCATTCTGAGCGCTCAGTATGTAATAGAATCTCAGTGGGCGTGGCACAACGTTAGAGCCGGAAGTTCTGTATTTGTATATTGAGGCTTTGTACTGAGGGATGGGGGGGCAGAGTATGGCCTTATTCAGAGCTGGAAACCACCATTACATATTCATCTCCTTTGTTGGAACTTGTTAAGCCCATTAAACTACCATTCTGCTGGACACTACAAAAAGTTATGTGCAGACACCTGCAGGTGGCTTCTTTTCGGTTACTGTATTAGCTGAATACATTTATGCAAGTGGAACGTTACTATAAAATAAACTCAGTCTACCTAAAAAAAGAAGTTCTGAAAATCAGTAACTATAACCAATTATTATTTCTATATTTTAGTCTAACAATGGAATAGTTATGTATCTTTAAACATCCGATCTGTGCAGATACAGTATATGCCAAAACAAACGTTCTTTAGTTGTTTGTTTACAAGGGAATGTATTTTTGAATGTTTTTAATTTAATATCGGATTATGGCCACTAGATGGCACTGAGGAGCATAGAAAATAAATACATTTCCTTTGCTCCTTTAGCTCCATCTAGTAGCCATGATGTGATATTACATGAAAACATTCAAATATGTATTGCACTTGTAATATATTTTATATTCACATAGAGCCAGTATTCACAGATATTAGCAGTGTCCTGTGAGCTGTTTATAAATAGACTCCTTAATATGCAGTCCATGACATGACCCCAGGGTTGGATTTACAAATAGGCACAAAAGGCTTGTACCTAAAGGCAACACAGGCAAGGAAGTGGCTTAAACTTGTATAGTCATTGATCATACTTTTTTCAGTCATCTTGTATTAAGTTTTAACACTG